TTCTCCTTTCCTTCCTGCCTATTATGTAAACAAATAGCCACCTCTAAGTACTTTAAGTACTTAGTACTTAGTACTTTAAGTACTAAGTACTTTAAGTACTCTAAGTACTTTCGCTATAGAAAATAAACCTGAGTTCCACTTACGGGGTGAATAAGATAATTTTATTGTCCAAATTATTTCTTAAAGAAAAATTGTTGTAATACAACATACTATTAAATTGTACACTTGAAACTTATTGGATTTTGTTGATCAGTCACAATAATTTTTAATAATAAAAAGAAAAATTGTTATAATTAAATCCATAAAGCACAATTATTTTGAGCCACATATTTCCATTTCATTTACAAGGTCAATCCCAAATAAACAAATTATCATAAATTAATAACTATCTTCAAACACAATCATAATTTCCACAGCTATGTTCTATATTCTTACATATTTCTGAGCATCACAATTTTTTTTTACATTGACACATCTTTACATTTAAAAAGAAACAAGGTTTTCGCTGTTGTTTGTAAATTCCCCTTTAGGAAAAACATCAACCACTTATAAGATTTAATGCCCTAAAGAGTTTATGTTCCTCTAGCAAAAAATTTAAGTTTCTTGAGACAAAAGACAGTATCTTACTCATTATGTGTTTCCTGCACTGGTACAGGAAGTAGTCCATAAATGTGTGCCAAGTAAATTATCCCTTCTTATCTCTACTGCTATTCATACATTCTCATAATTGTACTAATCATGTACAACCTAAAGTAAACTTTATATTTTATGATTAACATTTTTATATTAATTTTCCACAGATCCACATGGCCCACACATGTCATTTTAATGGCAATGCTTGATTTCCTCTATTGCTATGCCATAGACTGCTTAACCATGCCTCTGAAGCAGCTGGGATCAGAGGTCTATTCGCAGCAGGATTCTAATGTGTCAAGAAAGCTAATCTGCAGCAGGGTCTCGGGTCTGTCTACTCACATCAGGGTTCTAAGGAGCCACTAAAGGGGGAGGAGAACAGGAAATCCTCCTAAAATGAGTTAAACCACAAAACATCTCATTAAAAGAGAAATGTGTCAAAGGGAAAAAGGCATTTCTCACATATGGGAATGGGTTCTATTCTATGGTATAACAAATATTTGGCAGTGGCACCATTTTTATTTATTATAAACTGAAATACTCAAGTCTTATATTAAGATAAATATAAACAAATATGAAAAATAACTGCATATTTAAAAACTGCCCAAATTAAGTGAACTTCTCAGGTTCCCTAATTTACTTTTTATTTAATAATTTATTTTTAATTACAGTTGGCATACAATATAATATTAGTTTTAGGTGTACAATATCCTAATTTACCCTTAAAAAATGTGATTCAAGCAGTTTCCTCCACATGATCACGCTGGGAAAAAAAATGATTTGACTAAAATAACACTGTTGCAAAGTGAAAAATCAACTACAATAATCTCTCAAAATATAAACAAGATTATACAATTTGAAGTGCAATCCAATCTTAGTTGGGTCTATGTTGGACCCATTCAAAGGTAGAAGAGAGTTAGTTTTTGAAATACGAAGAGGACCAGATTTACTTACGAGGCAGTCAGTCGCATAGCACTGACTCAAAGGATGGCATAATTCCAAGACTGCTATATACTAGGTATCCAAGGGGAAAAAGAAATATTATGAGGCTGTCATATATTTGGGCTTGTGGCTATTCCAAGAAAAAAGCCTCCAGTTACTTAGAGCTTGCATCTTTTGGGGAATTCTATAATAAACTAGGATTTTTAAGAAAACACAAACTTAAAAGTACCTTACGCTTTGGTAAGATAAAGTTTAAAGTGCTTTTTGAAAACTATGTTGGAACCCAGCAACATATTGTTTCGTACATATTTTAATTATAAATGTCTTACTTTTTACTTAAGAAAACCAACTACCTTTAAATTTTAAAAACTCCTTTCTCCTATACAGTACAAACAAAAACATATCAAATTCAAATAATTTGCTGACACTGGAAAACAAAATTAGTACAAATCTAAGTTCTTACTCCATAGTTCATTTTACAGTGATTCACCCTGAATAATTACACTTTAAAACTCATTTTCTTTAGAATGCTAGTCTTTGATTTTTTAATTCTACATGTCTGCATCATACTTATTACCTTAAAAGAGAAAATGTAAGAGGTTTCATACCTGATTCCTCTTGTTATTTTCACAATGATACAAAGTTACCTTTGTTAGTCTGTTGTTGTTTTTTTTTTAAGTTTACTGTAAACATAAGCTGTTTGGAATTTATACTGCATTTCCTCACTGACTCAATGTTATAAATGGTAGTAAAAATCTTTCCTAAAGGACTCAATTCCTATGTAACTGATGTGTCGATGGTACTTCCTGAGTCCTCGAATTCCTCTTCCATTAGCAGAAAAGGTTTCAGGGCATATTTTAAACATCCTTCCTGTATTGCAAAAATTTAGTCAGCTGATTTTGGAAGAACATTCTGGTAGTGAAACATGAGTTGACTCACTCACAGCACACTATTACAAAAGCCTCCAAACAGGTCTCTCCCAGCCTCCAACCTCTCCCTCCTATATTTTGTCATCTATTGTGTTGCCAGTTATCTTCATCACAAACATGGTTATGTCACACCCCTACTTTAAAAACCTTCTCATCCAAAGAACTTTATCCTACAGGGTAAATTCCAAGTCTCTTAGCACAGTGAAGAAGACTCTCCTCAACTGGTACCAACCTACCTTAGTTTTTCCCTTGCCTCTTTTCACATAGACTACCTGGAGACAGTCTCATTCCCTAACAAGTCATGTTCTTTCACCTCTTCCATATCCTTGCAAAAACTCTTTTCTTCTGCTTTAAATGTATTCCTATCCTGTTACTTTAACATTCACCAATATAGATCAGTTCAAATATCACTTTCTCTATGAAACCTTCCCCAACAACCCTCGGATAGACTTAGCAAATTTAGTCATCCTTTGCCCATCCCCAAGAATTGAGCATGCTGTTTATAACAACTTCGATAAATGTTGACCAAGTTTTGAAAGCATACGCATGCTTAAGTGAGGGACTGGCCATAAAATGTTAAAGCCAGTTAAAAACCATAAAGATATTTCATACATCTATATGCAAGTATGTAATAATCAATACATACACTAACATTAAAAATATAGTCTTGAATTATGGATTGTTAAAACTCCAGATGTATAATCAACTTCACCTTAAATACCGATAAATACTAACCATCTAAAATAACACAGCAAAAACAATCTTACTCAGAAAAAAATTGGTAGCTTCCCATTCTATAAAGTTTCCCTATTTAGAGTGAAAATTCCTGCAATGGGGCAAATTTGTTTAATTGAAAAAGAATAAACCAAAAATAAGGGAAAAAAGTAATTAGTTTTCTGATAGTCAGCAGCCCTGCATTGAAATCTTCCATCAACACCTCCGAACAACTCTCAAAGCAATGATTTAGTAAAAAAAAATTCTTTATCATTCTCTATAGAAAGAAAACACAGCCATGAAAACAATATAAGAGCCAAAAAAATAAATAAAGAAAGAAGTTTTGTCCAGAAAGAAGCTAGAGAGTTCGCGATTTGTTTCCACTATGTTCGAACATCTCCAATATAAATATTTTACCTTTATATTAAAGGGAAGTTGAGAATTCAAACGCTATTTCACATCAATGACTTCATTCTTACGCTAATCCGGTTTCTTACACAGGGCAAAGATTATTTGTCCGAATTTTGAGACATTACAAATCTAGTAAAAACGCAGATAAAAGACTGGCCAAAGAAATGTAACAGTTCGTTTCCAAAAAAGAAGTATTCTTACTACAACAACAAAATGGCCCAAGAAAAATGAGCACCACCACCCCTAATTCCCTCAGTAAATTTAGTTCTGTGGACCTACTGGGGACTCCGCTAATAAAATAAACACCAATTTTTTAAATCATGATAACCTGGACCAAAAGTTCCATCTCCCGGTCTCTTCCCAAGTGACATTAACTTTACAAGCAAGACCAAGCTCCATTTCTCAAACAGTTTAAACATAACACACCCTCGGCGCGCACCCAAGCCTCCAAAGCCCTCAGCCGACTCCAGAGTAATCCGGAGTCTGGGGAACCCAGTTTTGCGCGGGATGGGGGTGGGGCGCACCGCAAAAGGTTCTACCAAGCAGGAGACAGAGGAAGAGAAACCAGACAGAATACTGCCGAGAAGTGTTGGGGGGCGCCAGACCCTGAACCTCGGGTCTGAGCACTCTCTACACACGGGTGGAGTGACTCCGCCTCCCGACCCCAAGTCCAGTCCCCAGGCCAGACCCCTCCACTCCCAAGGACCTCAGGGTAATTCCGAGAGTCCCAGCCCTAGGAAACAGCGATCCTAGAGGTCCCTAAGGGCGGACACCCACCTGGCCGAGCCCCACCGAGGACTGGGCCCACCAAGCCAAACAACAGCAGCCACTGGAAGCGGAGGGTACCAAAGGGCGAGCCAGCACGGGATCCCATTTCAGCAGATTCTGCAGGTTCTACTCAACATTCGATCGCCTCTGCGTCCGCCGGCTCCATCATTTCCCAACCCTGCCGGGGCCCCAGAGCTGGCAGAGATGCGCGCGCCCGAAGACGAACACGCGCTCGGCACTGACGCAACTCGGCTCTTGTCCGAGCTCGCTCCCGACATTGCGCTCGCTACCGCTGACGTAGAGAAAAATCCAGTCCCCAGCGAAAGAATGGGATTGCTATCTGGCGGCTAAAGCCCGCACTAGTGTGCCCCGCCCATTCACTGTCCGCGCCCCTTTCTACTCCCAGACCTGCCTACTTTGGGGGTCAAAAGAACCGATTGGACGAAGCATTAAGAGCAAAAGGAGGAGGAGCAGGAGACCGAGAAGAGGAATTGAAAAGCAAAAGCGAAGCACAGCCCCGCCCCCTGCGCAGCCTTTTCTAATTGGTTGTCAGGGGTTGGGCGGAGAGCCAACCTGTGCGCCCATTGGCTATTTGGCGGCGAGGAGCGGGGCTACGCGAAGAGGCCTGGCCAGGCCCGGCTCGGGTTGGAGGTGCCGGCTGGAGTTTGTAGTTGAGGAGGTTAGGCCGCCGCCACTGGCCCCGGAAAAAATGGTTCTGGGTGGTTGCCCAGTGAGTTACTTACTTCTGTGTGGCCAAGCGGCTCTGCTGCTGGGAAATCTACTTCTGCTGCATTGTGTCTCTCGGAGCCACTCGTACAACGCTACCGCGGTGCCCGAGCTTACATCCGCTGACGCCGCCCACCCGGAGGTCTCCGCCGGCGCTCCGAGCTGGGAATATGGCGACCCCAACTCACCAGTCATCCTTTGCTCCTACCTGTAAGCTACCCAGTCGTCGAGGCAGGTGGAGATAGAGATAGGACCAGGGATACACGGGTGTTGTGGTAGGGGAGTAGGAGAGGGAAGCTGCTTCCCCCCGCCGCCCCGCCCGGACCCTCTCCATCTGATGACCTGATAGTCAACACGCGGGACGAAAATATGACAGATTTCTCACTCCTCTCACCCATGCAGGGGAAAACCTTGTGTGTCGGTGGCAGATCCTTTGAGATCCCGAAAGAGGAGAACTAGGGAGGAGTGACATCTTTTAGCCTCCGGAAGAAGGGTACGAGGTTGTGCCTTCTCTGTTCTACTCCCTTTAACCGAAGGAGGCTCCATCGTAGGTGTTAGTACTGCGTGGGGCACTAATGGAGTAAATTACTCCCTGCCTACATGACACCTCCTGAAAAAAAGCAATATCCTTACCGTTTCAGAACCAAGTCATTTTTTAACATCTTTTTAGTCAAATAAGAAAAGGCTTTTGGGAAATGCAAAGAGAACTGAGAATTCTTTGGCTTCAATTTTTACCCTATAGCCTCGTGGCTGTTAGCCTAGGGAAAAGATGAAGCCATGGCAGAAGGAGAATACGTGTAGAAATAGGACCAGAAACACCCCCACTGCCCCATAAAAGGGTCATTTGGATGGCTATTTGACCTGCCATACTTCAGTTTATTTGACACCATCTCTTGTCTTGGGTAAAGAATCAGAATATTAAACCCCAGAATATTTGAAGAAATGTCTCTTGCCTGTTTTGATTATATAAATGTAAACAGCTGTTTGCAAAGACCATATGATGATCATGATCTTAATGGTGATTTCAGACCTGATGAATTCATAGAATGTGAAGACCCAGTGGATCATGTTGGAAATGCAACCGCATCCCAGGAACTTGGTTATGGTTGTCTCAAGGTGGGTTTTTGTTTTATTTTATAAACAAACTCTTCCAGAAACGTATTTTAAAAGTTACAGAAAAGTGTAAGAGTTATGAAGTTACTTTTTTGTAGAATTCATTAAAACAACTGTTACTAGAAATTTCCAACATGGCCAGGGTCAGTGGCTGAACAAGATACTTAGTTTCCTAAGGAAGAAACAGTTTCCGTGCCAAAACTACTAAGGTACAGAGACCGACCTGTCTCTGGTTTCTTTGGCCATTGAGATTGACAGCTTTGAAGCTAAAAAATGTCACTCTTGATATCCTTCAAGGCATGCACTTTCCTGAAAGAGCAAAAGAAAAGCTTATGCACTTCCTAAAATTGATGAATTGAGCAGTATCTTGTTATACATGCATTTGGGACAAAGCTCTTCCTGCCAATGACTTCTTTTCACCAGGCAAGCAGTTGAATTGAGCAGTATCTTGTTACACATGCATTTGGGACAAAGCTTTTCCTGCCAATGACTTCTTTTCACCAGGCAAGCAGTTCCTACCTTGTCTTTGGGAAACAGATAGTGTCTATCAGTCAGTATATGTCTTTGTAGGAGGTTATATAGCATTCAAGCCTTTTCTAACAGTGGCCTCTTGGAATGGAGGGAAGCCATTCAGTTCCACTGATGATATCCCTAAAGCTGGGCACATGCTTTCTAGTCAGACTCCCAAAAACCAGTGAAGTTCATGTTCTTTTCTCCCACATAATGCAAATCAAAGCACAGGTATAACAGAATTATAGGAAAACATTCTTTGTACTAAATCAGATACAGAGGAATAAACCTGAAAGTCATAAAACCAAAAAAACAACTCTTACTGCAATCATGTAAAGAAATATTTTTAGTACAGTGAGATTTTTGTTCTATTGATAATATTGATAAAAGTTTGAGTTAGAATCATATAGAGATCACTTACTTTTGCCCATTTTAATTAAAAACTGGATTGATCCTGTCAAGGTTCTCACACTGTCACTTCCCCCAGAAGTCCCCGTTCCTTTGAGGAATGCTCCAACAAAAACATTAATGAAGCACTTAATAAAGTGCCAATAGAGATTACACAGCTGTGCTTTCTCTTCAAGAATTCAGTTACACAAAGGGTCAGAGGTCCTGTTCTGACATTTTTGCTGGAATTTAAACATACCATAGATGTACTACAAATATCTGATAATCAAACATTCATGACTTAAATAAAGTCCTGGGTCCATTGATATTCTGAGTTCTTTCCTAATTATATTAATTTATAATACATGTAAAACAGACCTGTAATACACATTTTTATAAAATACCCATTCCCAAATGCTCAATAATGTGCTCTTTGTCCTGTAAATATAATTAAAGCATTATGTCCCTCTATTCTAAATGGCATTTAATGAAACTGATTATAAATTTTTTAAAGTTTATTTAAAACAATGTACATTAAGGATGGACTAATTTAAAATCTCTTGAAATGTTACTAAATTCCTTGTTCTTCAGCACTTTACCCTAACTTTGTTAGAATAACTATCACCCTGAGTCATCTTTTATTAACATAAAGGTATATTTTGGTGAGGTTTTTTGTTTGTTTTGTTTTGGTTGTTATTGCACAGTTTGGTGGTCAGGCCTACAGTGATGTGGAACACACATCAGTCCAGTGCCGGGCCCTAGATGGAATTGAGTGTGCCAGTCCTAGGACCTTCCTACGAGAGAATAAACCTTGTGTAAAGTAAGTATTACTTTGAATGAGGTAGTTGGTACGTGGATGGAGGTAGAGCTGTTTTCCTTGCCATCTCCTGATGTAACTTTTTCTTTTACCTTCAGTGTTAAAGGGGCAACAGTATTACTACTAGGCATAATCCATGGATGGGGCACTGTAGATATAATAGAGAGGACACAGGACTTGAGACCAGAGGCCATAAGTTCTAAATGTCTCTTTCACCAACTAGCTAATTACCTATGGTCACCCAGAGGCTCTATCCCCTCATCTACAAAATAAGTTGGATGACCTAGCTCCAAGATTCCTATGATAGACATAAATCCTATGAAAATAGCCTTAGTATTTCAAGAATAAAGGTTTTATTATGAAAAGTATGGGTCTCTCCCTGAAAATCAGTTTATCTTAAAGGATTAGGGTTATTTCTATAAATTCTGCTTGAAGGCACAGAATTTACTTATACCATTTCCTAATGGAGAGTTTATGACCATGTTTAGTGATGATGTAAGAGTCATTGCAATTGCATGCCATCACAGTATATAAGACAGAAGTCTTTATGAAGACATCCCCATTTTTAGTTGTCACAAGACAGCAGGAAAGGTACATGGAGATGAATGTTTGTTTAAGGAAAGACACTTCGTTAGAGAATTGCATTCAGAACTATAGCCTCAGGAAAAGAGCCTGTGCAGGGGAGGAATGGGGGCCCTGACTCCACTCCTACCAGGATGCCTATTGTGCTAATGTGCTTAGTAATTTCTTGTGCAGTCCAACTAAATATTTGTTCTTACAGGTCCTCCATATCTTAGCAAATATGCTTTTGAGACTCTAATATCTTCCTTTGGGGGATGGGAGAGGGCAATAAGGGCGTAAGAGGCCACAGAGGGACTGGCTATACCATCTTTTCACTTTTCATTAATTATTAAGTATTTTCATTTTCATGTGGTAAACATCTTTAATTCCTTTCTTCTAGGTATACCGGCCACTACTTCATAACCACTTTACTTTACTCTTTCTTCCTGGGATGTTTTGGAGTAGATCGTTTCTGTCTGGGACACACTGGCACAGCAGTAGGGAAGCTGTTGACACTTGGAGGACTTGGGATTTGGTGGTTTGTTGACCTTATATTACTTATTACTGGAGGGCTGATGCCAAGTGATGGCAGCAATTGGTGCACTGTTTACTAAAAATGGCTACTGTTATGGCCCAGAGAGGCGAGTCTTCTGAATTCATCTCTACAGGCTCAAAACTCTTCCTTGATATCAGACCTGACTATTACTTACCCTCTTTGGAGGGGAAAAAGTGGATTTGATTACAAAGCTTTCTTTGGACGATGGATTTTCAACTCAGATTTTACCTTGCAGCCTAGAAATGACAAGCAAACAGTGTTTTGTGAACCAAGTTTGTATCTTTCTTCATGGATAAAATATAAAGGCTAGTGACTAACTTCTAAGCTAGTGGAAGGGTTTCCATGCTCTTTATTTCTGTACATGGCTATATCTTCAGTTCTCTGGAGCAAGTGGACCCAAAAGAATGAGCAAATAGTATTTTTGCCTTTTAACTTCCGTGACCCTGAGTCTTCATGCAGAGGCTATCTGAAGCTGAACCAAGGAAAATCTTCAGAAGCAGAAATGGCCACGGATTTTACTGTACGCTGAAATTCCAACTTTCTGAACTGAAATTGAAGAATAAATTTTGCCAATCTGGAATGCTGTTTGGGTATTCTCAGTAGGTAAGAGTGAAAATCAAAGTTAAATTTGTTTTGCTAAAAGCTAGGCGGTTGAAGTGAAATACCCTCTTAATAAACCCTATTGTTATACCATTATTACACTTAAGAGGCAATTTATACAGGAAATAATTTTTTTCATTTCCATTTATGGTTTGAAAGCCAACAGTATCATACCTGTCTGAGTTAGGCTATCCTCTTGGCAAAATTTTCCTGTCTAAAAAGTATTACTTACCAGTTTAGAGAGCCCATATTGTTGGCTGGTAAAAAAAAAAAAAACATTTCATCTAAGTGACTATAAAACTATTCTTCACAATTAAGTAAGATGTGAGGAGCCTCATGCCCTTGGAAAGAAAAACAGACTCTTATTTAAAGGATATTATTACTGAGTGCTGGACAGAGTTAGGATATGATTTATGGGGACAAAGAGAAACTGAGTGTTTTCTACCAAAATAAGCATAGTACCAGAAGCTCTCACTGTAGGGTGCAGCAGTCAGTCATAGGG